CTCCCTAATTTTCCCCACAGGAGGAGAGGTATGGAAGATTGAAACTATTTATTGTAATAACATATATATGTACCTGTCTGACTCCAGGATATTTAATTGTAGATAACTTATCAAGATCGCTGTCCATTACACAGTTGACATCAGTTTGCAGCTTTAGCCAACCATTATGCAACCTTTCTGAAGGAGTATCACCACTGACATACACTTTAGCATTCTTTCCCTACAAGTTAAAACAATCCATAAAATAATGATAAAACAATTGAAACATTTTCAGTAATAAATTATAATTAACATCATTCYTGAGGAAAAGAGTACCCTTTTTTTCTTTGGTTGTTCTGGTTSTGGTTCATCTCCAGYCTCTTCTGTAGATTGTTGTAGTTTCTTGTTGAGACCCTTCAAGTTATCTACTATACACTCACAGTCCTTCAGAACCTTACACAGGTTAGCAGTCTGGGGATTCTCRAACCTTTTTTCACCAAGAGCTGACATCTGAATAAATATTGTTGCAGTACAAGATGTAAATAATTAGCATAAATGTTTGTACAATACTTTCGTACAATAACCTATAACTTACTGGTCTAAATCGTGTTGGAATAACRGGAAGTATRTCAACAAAAAACATTTCTGAGGAAGACTTTCGATGTCTTGACTTTGGAGTCTGGTAGCCACCAAGAAGGATATTCAAAAAGTCMCCRTCTTTCRTCCAAACCTTYACTAGATGTTCTTGTACTTCTTTTGGGGTTAAAAAGCTTTGCTGAAGACATTTTGCTACTTCTTTATCACAGTCGTTTGAGTCTGCTACATTTGCAGGAGTTTGAGTAGCTAAAATGGAGGATAATGAACATATAAAAATAATCAGGAAAAGATGAAAAGTGGTTTCAACACTGCGGATTRCAGTACATTGAAAATACAGATAAAACAGTTGCGATAGCAAAGATTATAATTATTGTATGCAATCAAAAGACAAAAAAGTTAATGCTGCATAAGCCAATAAAGGGTCAATACAATGTCCAAAAAGAGATTTTAACGACAAAAAAGGAAATACAATGTACCTTCATCCCCTTGATCCATGAATTCCTCTTCTGGGTCTCTCTTAGCATGRCTCTCCAAACTGTTCAAATGTTCCATTGCAATTCTTGTTGAAGCCCACTTTTGWGCCTCCCTCTTAGGCAAAGGCTTCAAATAAATCTTTGAGTTATACTCACTACGAATTTCTCTGGACGGTGCCTTGCAAACTGGACAATACCTTCTCCTTGAAACCATATGAGTTTTTAAGAAGTTTTTTGAAATCTCATGTCGTGAGTCTGTAATATTCATAGCGTTTGCTCTTTTTCTTGCTTCTTTTTTATCAACTTGTTGTAGGAGATCATGGACATGTTTATCTATGTCTGATATAGTACTGTTATCTGCCTCACTTTTTAACCCATGTTCGTTAGACGTTGAAATCAAGTTCTTTACAATTGTTTCTAGTTCATTTGCTTCTGTAATTAGTCCATAATCAAGAAGTTTGACTTGGCTGTGGAAATAAAACAAGAAAATAACCATCTTACTACATATTATATAATATCCTTAAATGTAACTATCAACTGTTTTGATTTTGGGTTTCCTGTGTATCATTCATGACAGACAAGCAAAACAATGTTTATTTGAGCTCTGAAGCAAAACGACTGAAGTGGATTTCTATTAAAAACAACTCACCATTTATAAGTATGCTTTGCAACTTTCTGTATCAACAAATTATGACAACAAAAACACGAGGAACGCAAAATCACGACCATAATCTTCATAAAGAGAGGATGGTAYACRGGCAAMGGCAGCTCTATGTGTCCAAGATGGCCAGGGCAGTGAATGTTGTTTTGCCCACACGTCTCGCATAGTTCATCTCTGTCTGCAGGCCCCAACGCWGGATCGTAAAGCCCGCCATAGTTTGGGTGAAGAAGAGAGTCAAAAGTTTCTGGATTTGTTATTCGCTTCACACTGAGCTTTTTTATCTCATCTGTTGAATAGAGAGAGAGTTTTACGCCCTCAAGACGATGAAATGGTACTTCGTTTGAAGTTGTCATTATTTTCTAAAGTTTTGACTGWYTAAAAGCAGCCTAGATTTTCGTTCAAAGTTAGAAACTTTTCTTCTSTTCTGTCCGCCATATTGGATGTGCTTGTACCACGTGGGTATGTGCGTCTGCTCATGGGCAAAACAGCTGTCCTGTCGTCCCGTAAACAGTTCTAAATGGCGGGAGTTTTGTTTAATGTTTTCTGCACTTCTTCAAGGCTGTGTCTAACAGGACAAGGTTTACGTTGCATTCGGTAAGTTTTCATATACGTTTTTAGCTGTGATTCAAATTAAAAACTATGATTTTCAACCCGCAAATTCAGATTTTTCGTGTTGAATAATTCCGCGAGCTCATCGTGGTGAACGTGTCGGGTCCACACTTCAAGACACAAATAGGCTGCAATTTTAACTAGACAGAAAAAGAACATTTCAAMTGCAATCCACTTAATGTACCATCAATTATTGTAAGGGAGTTGTCTGTTTGATATATTGCTCGAGTTGTTCTGGTTTGTTGGGATCCCTGTGTCAACAGGAATCCTTTCATTTGGTMAATCTTTCATGGGTTTTAAYTTCTTCAAATGATCTTYTTCATCTTGTTGCTYATTTATTTATATGTTCATTCATTTCTTTAGTTATTTATCTAAATTTTATTTCTTCCATTTTTTCATTCTTTTTCCCATTCTTTTTCTTWATTCRAATAGCACATCGGTATCAAAGATCAGCATTCTCTCACACCTCTGTATCAATGTTAAGGACAAAYCTACAGTCAAGTCCTCAGGACTAGCACAGCAGTATCAATCAATAAAGAAAAGTTTTCCTGATTTTATCGTKCTGTTYCAAGTTGGTGATTTCTATGAGATATACAGTGATGATGCYRTYAAGGTTTCTGAGAAAACATCCTTAAGAATATCAAAAAACCCAAACGTGAACCGTCTCATGGCTGGATTTCCAGTCAGGTCACTCGATAGCTGGCTCACAACTCTGGTACAACAAGGATTTCAAGTTGCMGTATGTCCTCAAATTCCAGAAAAGTAAGCAAGATCATGGAATGCTGTATAGTAGTTGAAATCTAATAAAATCTGTTGTGGCTTCTCTGATAAAATGGAAGGGATATAATATGGTTTAAATGCCAAGATAAATTTTACTAAAAAGCTTCAAGATCTATTTCAGTTTTCTACACCAGACAATTTCTCACAATTATTATCAATACACCTTTTCAGTTACACTTAAGCCTCGATAGCAAGTTAATTATTCTTTTGAATTTGACAAATGAGACTATTCATATCAATGTGTGCATTGCTCACATTCCTACAAATTCAAAAGAATATTTAACACGCTGTYGAGGCCTAAGAGCAACTGAAAWGGTGTATTAACAGCCTGCAATATTAAGTCAGATTAGATGTTGAGTAATCCTATTTTTTGTAATGTCCAGAACTCCCAAATCATCAAGGCTTATCCATCGTGATGTTRTCAGACTTGTTACGCCRGGAACATTACTGGAGCCTCTTCAACCAGATGCTAACTACCTGCTAAGCATAACAAAGGGACCAGGGACATCTGTAGGGMTGGCTTGGATGGACATYTCTACTGGGGACTTCCAAATGGGCACCTCTTCAATAGAGGACCTTGAACAAGACATATCAAGAGTTAACCCAGCAGAGGTAATTGATGGGCTTCCTGTGTTGAAAAACTATTTTGCATAAAAAATTTTTTTGGCAAAATTATCTATCAAGTATTAGCCTATCCTCTTCTACAGTCCTCTCAAACTCTCAAAGGGAACCTGCAGACTTATCTTGTGTTGGACTTCCTGTGTTAGCGATTCTTACTCCCTCATTAGCACCTCCCCCTAAGGTTGTTTGTATTGACACAGGAATCCCAACAGAGTAGAGTTGTCAGTCAATGTTAGCCAACTTTACATTCAACAGTCTTTTCTCTTAATCAGATTCTAATGGCGGAAAATGATTTTAAAGAACCAAGAATTCAAGATAATTATAAAATTGGTCGTGAAAGAAAGAAATGCACGCTTAACTTTATACAAGACTACCACCTCACCGTGATACCGCCTGAATGGTTCTCGCCAGACATGGRCGACATCAATGTAACTGAAAACACAAAATTCTCGCGACTAGAAATGTGCGCAGGCAGGGCGTTGCTAAGATACGTTGCGTACACACAAAGAGACGTGACACCATTGTTAAACCAGCCAATAAGATACAACCATGAAACGTACATGACAATAGACGTCAACACAAGGCGTTCACTTGAACTCACAAAACCTTTAATGAGTGTCAATCAAAAAGCTTCCTTATTTGGAGTGATGAATAACACATCTACTTCCGCCGGAAGAAGATTGTTGTTTCAAAGAATATGCGCGCCTTCAAATGAGCTGGAAGTGATAAGGTCAAGATTGGATGCTGTGGACTGTTTTTATAAAAATAGACATGTTACAGAGACAATTCATAAGGAACTAAGACGATGCTCTGATGTTGAACGCAGRCTGCARAAGGTTAGCGTTAATTATTTTTGGAATAGTATCATATATGATTTCATTTATCAAGATTGTCTGCGAAAGCACCATAACCTTGAAATTTTACAAAAACGACCTTTCTTCACTTTGAAATTTTGCAAGAGTTTTGATCGTATTGGTCATTATACATTTCTCCCATTATTTTAATCCCATTCATTCATTCAGTTGGCTTTATTCCTCACAGGTCGCAACAGGAAGCGCCGAGCTAAGTGACCTTCGTTCAATCCACARTACCATTCTTCTYTATTCAGAGATTCTAAAACTTTTAGAAGCGTTACCTGACGAAACTACCGCCATTTCATCTTTATTAGTCGATGATTTTGAAGAGCTGCGCGGCCTTCAGGGCGAACTTGACCAAGCTGTAGGAGAATTAACGTCAAAACACAGCGTAATGGAAGGYTACTCTGACATCGCGGACAGCATTCGAGATAAAATCGCACAGAATGARCAAGATGTTGCTGTCCTGAGAGACTCTTATCGGTAAGTAGGAATTAACATATCWACCTKGTTGTCAGGCCATCATCCCCTCGGATAAGGTTTTCTTCTAATCTTATGCTCTCCTTGTCKTTTTCTCTTGTTCTTCGACGTCTTTTTTATCTTCGTTTTCTTCGTCAGCGTCGTTATCGTGACCGTTATTTAYATTCTACTCAATAATATGGAAAACATATATCTTTATTCGCATTTCTAGTTCTGCTCTGGGAATCCCTCGACTGGTTATCAACAATCACAGGTCATTCATTCGTGTTGTTGAAATCCCATCGAGTCAAGTATCAAAACTCACTTCGAGAGATGATTTCGTTAAGGTCGACAACACATCCGATAAGACAAGATACAGCACTCTTAGGCTACAAGAACTGAACGCTGAATTAAAGAGTCTCCAAGATGACCATGATCACGTACAAAGAGCGTTATCTCAAGAGCTTTGTCAACAGGTACTTTGTCATTTTTGCTGCAGTACTTTTTGCGGCTGAAGGACAAGCCTTCCATGATGCAACGCGAGCTCGCTACATCCTTCCCATCACCCTTCGCGTATAATTTACTGGTAAAGGTGGTGGTACCGATGCTAATGATGCTAATGACTCTCTTTATCACAGGTAACCCAACAAGCAGATCACATTAAACGCGTCGCCAAATCGCTGGCCGAACTTGACGTAGCGTCATCGCTTGCTCTCCTTGCGATAACTCGTGGATATACCAAACCAAATATGGTAGAAACCARCGAGTTTGACGTCAGAGGAGGTAGACATCCAGTGGTAGACATYCTTCAACCTGACAGCTTTGTTAACAATGACTGTATTTTGAATGACAAGAACTTGTGGATTGTTACAGGTCCTAATATGGGCGGTAAGTATATTATTATGACAAGTCCTAATATGGAAAACAGGTATTTGTCACATGATCCTTACTTTTCCATATATGGACAAATCTATCTTGTTGTCATCTCACTTATGGACATGGAGTAATCGACGTGATGATAGGCCCAAATATGGGAAACAAGTATATCACGTGTCTTCTTTGCATCCTAATATGGTGGTTGGTTCATCATTGTTCTTAGGAAAAAGTACTTTTCTACGRCAAAATGCCTTGATCTCCATTCTTGCTCAAGCTGGCTCTTTTGTCCCTGCACAACATGCCACTCTTGGTAAGTTTTCTGATGATCCTTGATACAGATAAGATAAGATGGACATTATTCACGGTGTTTTCGTATTGTCTCCAGGTATTGTTGACAGAGTCTTCGCTCGAATCGGTGCCAGTGATAATCTCGTTCAGCACCAGTCCACGTTCATGGCAGAAATGMTTGAAACCGCTTATATACTATCACACGCTACCCAGAATTCCTTGGTTGTGATAGACGAAATTGGTGCGTAAACAGAGAGGAGGAGTGAAAAATTTTAATGGGAGGAAAAAGAATGAAATTTGATTAGGAAATGTTATTAATGATGATTAATCCATAATGRATGAAGTGATGCWTTGTTTCAGGGCGTGGAACGTCAATGTTGGACGGCCTAGCAATCGCCTGGGCGGTCATCGAGTATATTCACGATRTGATTGGCTGCAGAACGCTTGCCTCAACTCATTTCCACCAATTAGCGCTRTTGTCGTCCAGTCTACAACGAGTYGATAGCTATCACGTGACAGCCCATCATTCTAATGAGCACGGAATCATTTTTACTTTTAAAGTTAATGTAAGTTGTTTTTAAGGATTGCAAAATAACTTATTATACTTATTTGTTATTATTTCTATCCATAACACATTGTTTTTTGTGGACTTGTAGAGTGGTATGGACAGCAAGTCTTTCGGGATCGATGTTGCGCGACTTGCTGGGATACCTATGGCCGTGGAAACCCGGGCACGAGAACTTTTGGTCCCACTGGAAAAAAGAGCGAACTTTATATCCCCAACTTAAAACCTGGTAAGAATTTGCGAGACACGCTAGCGTTAATAAGAAATATTGCTAATGACTGGGATTCGAGTTCCAAGCTGAGCGCCGAGTGATGTAGGACTAGACACTAAACTCCCTCAGTATCTCATCCTCTAAGGATCTGGGAACGAGATTTCACGTCGACAGGCAGCCCAACCATAAATTGATGGCAKATATATGGACTTTGTAGTTTATTTACTGTGCATGCGTAAAAACAATGCACGTGTTCCCGGCAAAGGAGTTTTATGCACATGTTTTATGCACATGCCAAAGGACTGGACTCCAGACACTTGACCGTTATATTTTCTCTATGTGAACCTTCTGACTCTACAGCGAACCAAGTCGAAATTCCCACAGCTATGTGTTGAGAACCAAACTCGGCTGTCAGTATGTCCGTGCCTCAGTTCCGCTCAGCTTAGCTCACTGGTCTTTGGTAAGGGTATAATGTACAAATGTGTTCAAAGCGGGGACATGTTATTTCACATCTATGTTCTAGGCAACTCGAGGTCAAACGGTATCATTTTGTGGGAAGAACATGAGAAACATGCAAGAATGTATCACTAATACTACGTTTTGCGTTCATTGAGTGTTTAAATTGCGTTAATCTATAGGTTATTGTACATGTTTATAAACATAATTCAGGTTTTTTGATATAATTTTATCAAACATTTTAGACAAATAAGTGGTAAATGCTATACAATAATAATAGCCATTATTCGAAAACTCTCGTAACAAACGGGAGGACTCATGTACATGTAAAAAGTAATAAAAAAATAAGAAGTAAATATAAATCTTTTATGTATATAATTTTGCTATTGTATAGAGTTATATGTAAAAATTCTAACCGCCAACATATATCATTATATCGGGTGCATTATGGGTAATATGCTATTTTCACTTTTTCCTTGCTAAATATCATCCCAATACTTTGAAATCGTGTTGACTAAAGGTTGACAAAGCATAATCTGTAGTTTAAGGGTTTAAATTTGAAATATTAACAACCCTATATAAAGTAAAATTGTACTTAAAGACTTCAATGATTCAATTGCTTTATTGCTATATATTGATATATTTATAATTGATATTAAGTAATCTGCCAGAATTTGTTCAACTGTCTGTATTTGATAGAGAATTAACCGATGAAGAGAATAACACTATTAATAAGTTTCAATAGACACAGCGAGTTGTATATTCACATCTATATTTTTGGGAGAATGCACATATCCGATTTCCATTCTCTTAACGCTTTCATGGTTGAAATTGTATATTTTCGTTGTCAAGATCGTGGTTTGAGGTTGAGTTCTCAGACTGTTGTGGTTGAGATAGCAGACTGTTGTATACCCTTTGCGAAAACACGTAGTTGTAGATCGGCGCTGCCGCAATAGCTCCTATCATCGGGCCAACCCAGTAGATCTAAAGAAACAAGACCAATCACAGATTGTTAAGCCCGAGCCGAGGCCGAGCGTCTTAAATTACAATAATATAATGTACTAAATTACGAGTTACGAGTTACCCAGTGGTCTTCCCAAGAATTCATGACAACCGCTGGCCCAAATGATCGCGTTGGATTCATTCCACCTCCAGATAAGTTAATCTGTAATAGAAACATTAATGTTACACAATTGAAAGTTTTGTTGACACTTCCAGTAATTGCTGGCAATGTGTAAAAGCTCTGCATAAATGTGTTTTGAGCACAAGACAAATTAGGAAAAGAGTTCTTCTTTCCACTTGTCTTCAAAGGCTGTTACTATGACCCCTTGATAATTCCTTGCGTTCAGGTATCCTTAAAGAAATGTTTTTCTCAGTATAAAAAACTACCTTTCCACTAACTTACCGAGAGGTTCAGATTGACAAATACGACAAATCCAATGGCCAGCGGTGGTCCATATCCTGACAGATGTCTGTCAGGGTCACCAGCCGCAAACACCACTAGAACAAGAATAAAAGTAATCCATATTTCCATTCCTAACGCCTTGCCAACAGACACATCAGGATTGCGAAGATTGACAGCGAGATTTGAATCAACGATGGCTTGTTCTGGAGCTATCCCATAAATCACTGCAGCACCGCAAATACCTACCAAGAA